ACGGCGGCTCCTTCAAGCTTTGACCAAAACAAACACAAAACTGAAATTTATTGGTCGTTGCACAAACAAAAAATGAAGCTGGTTTTAGCAGTTTTGTCTTTTCTGTTTTTTGATCATTTCTTTTGCAAATATGCCGTTAATGGAACTAATACGAGGAGTAATATACTTTAACTTCATGCTTTATGATGTGGCTGCTTCGTTTTTAAATCATTTCTTCCATTTACTTTTCATTTGATGTGATTGTGTTTTGTTGTCTGAACCTCATCGGTGTTCTTTGTTAAATCAGGTCTCTGTCTTTAAATGAGTCCTGGAGGCTCAACGACACTAACCTGCAGAAATAAAGCTTGAATTTATAATATATAAAGGGATAATATGATGCACACTATGTATTATATATTTGACTTTAAAAGTCAAATGTTGATGATTATAGTTTACTACTGACATGATTAAAGATTGTGGTTTTTTTTTTTTTTACATTTTTTTAGTAATTAATTAGCTATTTAAAACTGTAACACCTTTTTAATAAAAAAAAGTTTTACATTTATTACATCTCAACATTCATTAGAAAATGTTTGTTGTTCAGACCAGACAGCTCATTTCTTATCAGTCATATATTTTAAAATATATATTGTTTCTCCCTCTATCGTTATTTTTATTCTTTTGTTTGTTCTTGATTATTTTTATTAATTTATTGTTTGTTTATTATACTTAAAATCATGTCCATGGAATGTAGAATTTTGCTTTACTCCCAGTCTTAATCAGATTTTATTTTTACAAATTAAAGTAAATTAATCTGTTTGAAAGATTTTTTTCTAACAAAAAACAAAAACTTCAAACAAAATTTAAAAAACCCAAATGAACAAAAATCAGATCCTCATTATGAGGGTAGGGTTTATGGGATGGGGGGGGGGGGGGTTCCTCCACTGAACTGATTGGTTGGACCCCCCCCAGACCACTGACCCTGCCCTCTGTTCCAGTCCCAGGTATAAGAGCCGGACCGGGTGACCCGGTCCAGAACATTTGGTACCGGACCCTCCATCTGGGCTTGGCTCTGATCCGTTTCGGACCCTAACGGGACCATGGACCTGTCGGACCTGTCTCTGTCCGTGCCCCCCGGGGAGGACTTCTACGACGACCCCTGTTTCAGCACCAACGACATGCACTTCTTTGAGGACTTGGACCCGCGGCTCGGCCTGCTGAAGCCGGACACCTCCTCCTCCTCCTCCTCCACCTCCTCCTCCGTCCTCCTCCACACCGAGGTAACGGACAGCGAGCACGTGCGCGCGCCCGGTGGCCCCCACCAGGGCCCCCGGTGCCTGCTGTGGGCCTGCAAGGCCTGCAAGAGGAAGACGAGCAGCGCGGACCGGCGGCGCGCGGCCACGATGCGCGAGCGCCGGCGGCTCTGCAGGGTCAACGACGCCTTCGAGACCCTGAAGCGCTGCACGACGGCCGGCCAGAACCAGAACCAGAACCCGAGCCCGAGCCCGAACCAGCGGCTGCCCAAAGTGGAGATCCTGCGGAACGCCATCACCTACATCGAGTCCCTGCAGGCGCTGCTGCGGAGCGGCCAGGAGCGCGACCTGTACCCGGAGCTGGAGCCCCGCGGGCCGGACTCCGCCGCGTCCAGCCCCCGCTCCAGCTGCTCGGACGGCCCGGTGAGTCCCGCGTCACCTCTGCTCCACCTCATTCATTACTCCACCTTTTAGTTGGAAACACACACTGCGCTGGTTATAACTTTTTATTTATTATATGAACCCAAGTTTCAACGTTTGGGTTTTCAGTTTAGTAAATTCCACTTTAATGACTTTAATGTTTTTTTTTAAATAAAGAGTAATGAAAAAATAAATACTTTTAAACAGATGTGTGCTTGTTTTCATTTTTGTTTGTTTCAGATATAATAAAGAAGGACCAGGGAAATAATGTTGGACTTTTCTAATGAATTTATTCCTAATAACCTGCTCATGATGTTCCTGCGCTCCTGAAAACAAAGAATTCACCTTTTAGCTGAGCTAAAGTTGTAAAGTTAATAATGTGCACTTTTAAAGCTGGGTTTAAGACATGTGGACAGAACTGGACCAGGAGACAGTCCCCCTGAGGGATGGACCTGCAGGTGCTTTTCAAACTAAAACCAGGATCCTGGTTCACCTGGGCTTCATTTGGTGGATTCATTGTGTTGTTCTGGTCCTTAGAGCATTCGTTTCTGATTGGTTGAGCAGTTTTAGACAATTATATTTGTGCAACATAGCCTGTTAAAAACTGTTTTTGCAGATTTATCCAAACAAGAAAAGCTAAAGCCAAACTAAACGTCTCCAGGATCTCATGCTGGACCTGCTGTTTTTAATTCTTTTTAATTCTGACTTGGTGCTGAGTTCAAGTCAAAGATCTTCGTGTCCAGGTCTTTCCTCTGATGCTGCAGCTGGTTCTGAAAAGCCTGAGCAGCAATCTGATGCAAAAAACTGAAATATTCATCTTAAAGTTTCTGCTTCCTCTAACTGAAAAGTTCATGAGTAACTTGAACTCAAATCTACAAGTTAGACAGCACAAGTTTGCAAACTTCTATTTCCTCAGACTAAAAGTAACAAAGAGGTGGATGAATGGAAAGACAGTTTTTGTTCAATCGTTGATGATAGTTGTGAAACAAATCGACCAATTCAAAAAATAAATAAAACATAAAAATAATGAGATCAATAAAACTATAAAATATCCTGATGCATGCTCAATAATCCAGGTAGAAAAATCTAAAAAAAGTTAAATAAATAAAGTTTTTGTTTTTTTCAATGTCCAGAGGACCAGATTTAACTTTTTTAAACTATCAAAACTGTCATAATTAGTATTTGTTCTCTTGTAGATTAGATTAAACTAAAGTCTCAACATTTTCCTATAGCCAACAATTTTCAGTCAGGTCATCTGGACAGTTTCTTTTTTGTGCTGAAACATTTCACCTTCCATCCAGAAGGCTTCATCAGTCAAGGAAACACAACACAAAACTGATTCTTCCCCCAAACAGCTTACTCCAAAGTGGAACAAACCAGTTATGTTGGTGCTAAGATGGTGTCTTTGGCACGCCCCCTCCTCTGGTGCTGGCCCTCTTCACAAAAAGAAACTGTCCAGGTGACCTGACTGAAAAATTGTTGGATTGTATACCTGGATTATTGAGCATGGACTTTTTTGATTTTCACTGAAAATCAGTAAATCAGCCACAGAATTTACAAAGCACCATTATGTGGTGCATATATGGACTGGTATACAAACTGGTACATATGATGGGCACATAGGCTTATTGATATCTATACATATTGGTACCTATACACATTAGTGTATATACGTATTGTTACCTATTTGTAGAACTTATTTGTATTGGTACATGTGTATTGGAACATATACATGTTCTTACATGTATGTATTGGTGCCTATATGTAGAACCTGTTCGTACTGGTACATACAGTAGTCCCTTGTTTATCACAGGTGTTTGGGACCACCCACAATAAGTGAGAAACCACAAAATGTGTGTGCGTGGCAGAGAAGGAAATCAGCTGATCAGGCTTCAGGAGGGAGCTTCCCCTGCACTTATGGGCTGCACACATGGTGCAAAATAATTTATTTTAAGTTAACAATCCATGGCTCATCCGTCAATCAGTCAATTGTATCACGTCCAATCTTACTTTGAAAAACCGCGATATAGCAAATCCATGAAAAACGAACCGTGAAGTAGCGAGGGACTACTGTACACATACTGGTACCTATTTGTGATACCTATGCAAATTGGTGCATATGGGTACTGGAACAGACATATTAGTACACAGGCACATTTGTACCTATATGTATTTGTATACCTATTTATTGGTACCAGTATTTATTTGCGGTATGTATAGAGCCAGAGTTTCTTTATTTGTCATTTTATAGGTACATATAGGTACATATGTTAGTATTTGTACTTATTTGTCATACCTATGTGTAATGGTACCATGTGTATTGGTCCCGTAATGGTACCATGTGTATTGGTACCATGTATACTGGTACCATGTGTATTGGTCCCTATGTGTAATGATACCATGTGTATTGGTGCCTATACAGGATAGCATTTTAATTATAAATGAATGTTGTTTTTCAGGCAGATTTTAATGGGCCGACACAACGTTGCATCATCAGCTCCTATTTCTCGGAGGCGTCAAATGGTGAGAACCACCCTTTACTTTTATAACGTGGCCCGTGTTGTTCTTGAGAGATTTTCAGAACGGCTTCACCTGCCTGCATGAAAGAAGGAAGTAATGAACAGATCAAGCAATCAAATCAGGTGACTGATGGAGACGTAGTAATATGAAAGGTGCTTTGTGGTAAAAGAGGAGAGCACAATAGAACTAGGGCTCTATGATGGAAAACAAGCAAAAAGGCAGCGTTGCACATTAAAAATGAAATTTATTGTGCAACGCTGAGAGTCGTATATTACTTTATTATTGCATTATATGTGAGTTTCTTGTAACGTAAAGCCAAAACGCCAGCAGGAATGCTGTGGCGCTTCCTCATCTGAATGTTAATGAACATAAACAGGACGTGTTAAGATGAAGCGTGCTGTAAAACTAAATATGTGCTATTTTTCTTATTTGCCCTTTAATTTTACGTTGGTCTGGTTATTAGAGTCCATAGTTCACTTAAAGCTCAAGACACTTAAGAAGTTGTTTTAATCAACAAAGGAGTGACAAATGTGCTGTGTGTTTTTATTCAGCTGCTTATTGAGTCACGTGATTGTTCTTAAAACAAAAATTTACCTTAAAATGATTTTAACAGCATCTTGTCATCTGTTTTTTTAGTGTAAAAATAAAATTTCACTGAAATTGTTGCTAATTAAACAAATAAATCACACAGATAAATGCTAAGCAATAATACAGCAGTTGTGTTCTACAGCAGTGTCCTGATGAGGGTTAGAGACGGACCGGACCAACACCTGACAGAAGGTTAGAGATGGACCGGACCAACACCTGACAGAAGGTTAGAGATGGACCGGACCAACACCTGACAGATGGTAAAAGATGGACCGGACCAACACCTGACAGATGGTTAGAGACGGACCGGACCAACACCTGACAGAAGGTTAGAGATGGACCGGATCAACACCTGACAGATGGTTAGAGACAGACCGGACCAACACCTGACAGAAGGTTAGAGACAGACCGGACCAACACCTGATAGAAGGTTAGAGATGGACCGGACCAACACCTGACAGAAGGTTAGAGACGGACCGGACCAACATCTGACAGATGATTAGAGACAGACCGGACCAACATCTGACAGATGATTAGAGACAGACCGGACCAACACCTGACAGATGATTAGAGACAGACCGGACCAACACCTGACAGAAGGTTAGAAACAGACCGGACCAACACCTGACAGAAGGTTAGAAACAGACCGGACCAACACCTGACAGAAGGTTAGAGATGGACCGGACCAACACCTGACAGAAGGTTAGAAACAGACCGGACAAACACCTGACAGATGGTTAGAGATGGACTGGACCAACACCTGACAGAAGGTTAGAGATGGACCGGACCAACACCTGACAGAAGGTTAGAAACAGACCGGACCAACACCTGACAGATGGTTAGAGATGGACCGGACCAACACCTGACAGAAGGTTAGAAACAGACCGGACCAACACCTGACAGAAGGTAAAAGATGGACCGGACCAACACCTGACACACACCTGTATGTCAACAAAGCAGGTGGTAAATAAAGGTCATGGCTGATCTTTTACAGCCTGATCACAAACAGTTCATGCTGTCAGTCTGTGGCAGGTCGCTCTGGTCAATATGATGAAAACGATCTTGTTGTTTTTAATACTTTGCTGCCAACATCAAAGCGATAACGTAATGTTAGCTTGCTGTGGCCGTGTTGTGTGCAGGAGGTCTGAGGAGGGAGCGCAGTCCTGTGGTCTCCAGTCTGGACTGCCTGTCCAGCATTGTGGAGAGGATTTCCACTGACAGAACCGGTTCTCTGGGCAGCCGGGCACCAGAACCTGCTTTGATCCCCTCCCCCACAGCCAGCCAGGACCCAAACCTCGTCTACCGGGTTCTATAGAACTTGTCACAGATCCACCTGCAGCTTCAGATGAGAACAGTTATTTATTTTGGTTTAAATTATGTTTTTCTATTTGTTCGCATTAATTCTGTAAATGTTTAGATGTTTTAAGAGTGAATTTTAAATCACCTGTTTTTGTTTTGGTGATTATAGAAGCTCATTTCTGCCATTAAAAAACAAAACCAGCACAAGTTATTTTAAGTTATCATCTGTAGATTTATTTGCACCAAACCTTTGGGTTTATTGCAGATTTTCTTCTGAAAATCTCACAAGCACGTTTTTAAAGAACAAAATGTGGTTTTGAGTTTAGTTCCAGCAACACGTCTAAAAACAGTCTGCCGGTGTCAACCAAAGTCTGTGATGGTTCAAATAAGAAGCAGCTGGAGGAGCAGTTGGTATTTAATTATGCTGAATGGCAGCAGGTCAGTAAGGAGACGGACTGAAAGGATCATTTTAGAGAAGCTGATTGTCCTAAAAGTAAAGATGGGCAGGGGTTCACCACTATGTCACAACCTGTGTCTGAAACTAGCGAAACGTTCAAAACAATGTTCCTCGTTGAAAAACTGGGATGGCTTCACGTGTCCCATCATCTGCAGCTCATAATGCCATCAGACGGTTTTAGGAAACTGAAGTAGAAGGCCTGCCTCTCTGATGGTGTAGGGGTGCATGATGGCATGGCAGCTTGTGCATCTAGAAAAGTTTTATGATTCTCTCTGTATGTGTGTGAATAAACTGAATAAACGAGGAAATAATCCCCACCAGTGCAGGAAGAAATATACAGGGTTTAGAACAACATAGATGCAGTTCCTTAGTTGGGGGAGTGGTGGCGCAGAGGTTAGAGAAGATGGACCTGCGATCAGAAGGTCGCCAGTTCAACTCCCCGCACCGACAACATCAAAATGTGGATGAGAAAGGTGAAACACCCACACCTGTCTCCACCCTCATTTGCCCCACTCTGGGTCCTTGAGCAAAGTTCTTAACCCCCACCACCTGCTCCCCCAGGTGCCCCAGCTGCAGCTCTCTGCTCCACACAGAGGCGGTGGTAGCTCGGTGTCTGTGGTGTCAGGAAGGGCGGGGCCCGGCGTAAAAACAATCACCAAGTCTTCATTCGTTCTCTGAGGCGACCCCTGAAGAAGGAGCAGCCGAAAGAAGAAGAACAGTTTCTTAGTTAAAGCATTTGATATTCATTATGTTCCATTGTGAATAAAACATATTTATGATAAATCAGTGCATTCTGTTGGTTTTTACTTTCAGAATGTCCAATTATTATTATTATTATTTTTCAGAATTAATTAAATTCACTTCAGTTTATTTATACAGCACCAATTCACAACAGAAGTCGCCTCAGGGGACAGAAACATTCATATACCGCTACATAAAAACTCATTTAATAACATTATTTATCTAAGGAGGCCGCAGACTGCTTTGAGTCTTAACTTCATCACAGTCTCTCATCCTGAGCAAGAACAAAGGAGACAGTGGGAAGAAAAACTCCCTTTAACAGGAAGAAACTTCCAGTAGAACCAGCTCAGGACGAGAGGACATCTGCTTCATCCAACTGGGTTTGAGAGGAACAGACAAACACAGAATGAAAGGTCCAGGTGTACTTTCTATGGTCCTGGTGTACTTTCTATAGTCCAGGTGTATTTTCTATAGTCCAGCTGTACTTTCTATAGTCCAGGTGTACTTTCTATAGTCCAGCTGTACTTTCTATAGTCCAGCTGTACTTTCTATAGTCCAGCTGTACTTTCTATAGTCCAGGTGTACTTTCTATAGTCCAGGTGTACTTTCTATAGTCCAGGTGTACTT